ATATACATATACATATACATATACATATACATATACATATACATATACATATACATATACATGCCCTACATGTGTGCCTGTGTAGGTTAGAGGAGAGTATTTGGATCTTCTGGAACTGGAATTACAAATTGTGAGCCACCATATGGATGGTGGGAACTGAATGAGCACTGGGAGGGCAGCAAGTGCTTCAAGCATTGGAACCTTAGTTCTTATTCTCTCTTCCTCCCTCCTTCCCTCCTTCTCTTCTTCCTTCCTTCCTTCTCTTCCTCCCTCCCTTCCTCCTTTTTTTCTTCCCTCCCTCCTTCCTTTCCTTCTTCCCTCCCTCCTTTTCTTCCTTCCTTTTTTTTTTTTTAAATTTTTTTTAAATTCACCTTCTTACTGTAAAGACTAAGATGGCCTCTGCCTCATTAATACTGGGATTAAAGGAGTGTACTATATTAAGCTCTTATTTTCTTATTCCAAGATTTGAAACTATGGTTTTTTTAAAATAAGAACTATGAATAGACTTAATAAAAGGATTATAGAGTATAACTTTAAGCTATTTTCCTATAATTTCTCTTGTGTACATACTTAGCAAAGTTCCAGTGGTTCCTTTCTTCCTCTTCATCCTCTCTTTCTTTCGTCATCCCATGTTGGGATAATAACCGTTGATTAGGTGATGTACCTGTTGAGATGAAGGACTTTTGGTTAATTTGTCATTTATCACTTAATTTTGCAAAGACATAGTGACTTAAAGTTTAAGCCAGAAGTTTGATGGTGAGTGAAGAGCAAGGTGGCCTTTAGAGAGACTGATTGGGGAGATTCAGTCAGAGAGTTTCCATAGTTCATGTTTTCGAAAGGAATTAGTTCAGCAGTTTATTTTGTTGGAGAGGGAGAAGGAAGTGAACTTGGAGATGGTCTTAAGAACTCCATCAGCTCTGATGTGTTTGCCATTTGCTAGGTCTAGGTTTTCAGCTTTTAAAACTATTGATACAAGGGGCCTGTCTTGGGCAATGTAGAATATACAGCTTTCCCCTGACCACTGCCCATTAGAAACCAGTTACTGTCCCTTTCCCTAGTTGTGACAACCAAAAATGTCTGCAGATATTCTCAATTTTTGCCTGTTCAGATACTCTTAAGGACCACTGAGAAAGGATGTTTCTAATTTTCTGCAGGTCAGTATATTCTGTTATATAAGGCTTTTGGACTTGCTCTTGAGCAGCTTACACTTTTTAGGAGATGTGAAAAATTATGACCGTACAGTATTTCAGGTTTCCATGTCCTGCCACCAGTGGCTTTCATCAGTGATTACTTTGCATTGTGGAGGTGTGTTGGGTCCCAAACCAAGGGGCCTACTGTATTCACCTGGGAAGCTCAGAAATGCCAATGTCAGTATGTGTGACATGAGTTTAAAAGACAACTTTGAGAAGCACTGTAGGTAGGTGTAATAAGATGCAGTAAGTCAGTGTACACTAGGCCATTCGATTTGCTGTCTTAGAAGCTGGGACTGAAAATGGGCCTTTCTTTCATCTCTTTTGTTTAAAGTCTGTTTTGACCAGTGCTGATCTTTCTGTCATTTCTCTTCTGTTTGGATTCCAATTTCTTTTAACATCTCTTTGTTCCAATGTCTCTTTAAAATTTAGCCAATTTTTTTTCCTTCCTTTTCATGTGTTCTTATTATCCCAAGAGCATGTTGTGGAAATGCAAAGAAGGCATGAAGAGCCCTGTGCGTCTCAGCTGGAGCTCCATGCCAATGCTGGTGTGGCCTAGACTCAGGCTCTGATGTTCTCGCAAACTATCTTTTGAAATGTACCCATCCCTGGAAAGGTTTCCCGTTGGTTTTTGAATAGCAAGACAGAATTTTCAGGTGGTTTTAAAAATAATATTCCTAGAAAGGACACTCTGAATTTCAGGACTGTATTATGGTGTTTATATTTTATTCCAGTTTTGCCCTGCCCACAAGGAGCCTAAAATATACTACCTTTGGGAAGTGTCAAACCTCAACTGTCTTGGGGGTTAATTTGGACCTCTTGACCTTCATTGTCCATTGTAGAATTCAGCTCCCATGTGCTAATATGTCTTTTATTTCCTTGTAGTTTCATAAACTATAAAAGAAAAGTTTATGCATTTTAAATATTGTATAAAATCTCACCCAATTTGTTAGGTTGTTCTCTAATGTTACAGACAAACCAGTCTGCTACATCTTATACACTCATTTTTAATCTTTGATATGTCTGTCATTTTAAATGGACATCATTTTAAATACTCTTTTTGTATCAGACTGAATTTGAAATATTCCAAAATCTTCATGAAATTGTGAAAGGAATTAAGGAGTTAATCTAATGATAGGACTAATTAAAAGGAGATCTATGTTTTATAAAATATTGGTTTCATCTTAAGATCTAACAGTGTTTTCAAAGTAGCAGTAGCCACTTTGCCTTATTCTGTAGTATCTTTGGATACATGGTCTACTTTAAAAGAAGACTTTAACTCTTAGTTTTATAGATAATAATAAAGTAAAATGGAAAATAGAATGGGAAAACTTAAGTCGAAGTTTATTCATCATGCTGACTCTTAACTGTGGTTGAAAGAAGGATGTAGATAAGATAATTCATTAATAATAAATTGCTTTCTCACTCAGTTCTTTCTTCATACTTAGGTAGAAACAGAAAAGAAAGGTGTTTTGGATTTTGGTGACTTGACTTATGAAGGCTGGAAAGCTCTCCCACTCAAGTTAATAAATAGGACACATGCTACTGTGCCAATCAGACTGATTATTAATGCTGTAAGTACTAACCTTGAATTAGAGACTACCTACAGAATATATAGATTGGAAATTACAGGCAGTGCTGCTACTCTTGGTTAATTTTTTCTTATAAAAGTGAGTTGTACTGCTAAGGAGCCTGCTAACAGTGCTGCTGCTATGACTCTGCTGAAACTGACTCCTGTGTTCTGAACAGAATGCCTTAGCCTGGCGCTGTTTCACGTTTTCCAAAGAGCCCATCTGTGCGTCTCTGAAAGCTGCTCCTTATGCTGATGTGATTTCTCAGCTAGTGGCGCCGTCTGTAGTTAGTCACGTGATGCCTGCTAGTTACGACGGAAAGGTAAGTTGAGTCAGTTTAAAAACAAAACTGGCTTAGGAGTAAAGAACAAGTTTCAAGCTGCTTTTAGCTCATTGGGATTTCAGTCTTAATAAATATTACAATTTTGTTTTTCATTTCATAGGATCCAGAATTTCTGATAGTTTGGGTTATTTTCCATAGCCCAAAGAAACTCCTCACTTCAGGTATCATATTTTTTGGGGGGGAATTATCCTATAATTAAACTTCAGATTTACAGCTTACTTTGTTAATGAAAATGACAGTATTTTAGGCTATTGCCAAGAATTTTATGTTGTTTGGAAAATGGGGAAGATGGCATGATATTTTGGGTCAAATCTATGTAGATGTAGGTAATCTAAGTGAAGGCTGAAGAAAACCCATTTCCTCCCTACTTATCCCTCTAGTTATACTTATATTTGGATTGTGTCCTAGTCAGGGTTTGTATTGCTGCAATGAAACACCATGACCAAGGAACAAGTTGAGGAGGAAAGGGTTTATTCAACTTATACTTCCACATTGCTGTTTATTATTAAAGGAAGTCAGGACAGGAACTCAAACAGAGCAGGAACCCAGGGGCAAGAGCTGATACAGAGGTCATGGAGGGGTATTGATTACTGGATTCCTCCCTCCTCCCCCCTCCCCCCCCCCCCCCCCCCCCCACTCCCCGGCTTGTACAACATGCCTTCTTCTTATAGTACTCTGGACCACCAGCCAAGGTTAGGCATCATTCACAATGGCCTGCCCTCCCCTTCCCCCTCCCTCTCACTTCCCTCTCCCTTCCCCATCACTAACTGAGAAAATGCCTTACAGCTGGATCTCCTGAAGGTATTTCTTCGAGTGAAGTTCTTTTCTCTGTGATAACTCCAGCTTATGTCAGATTGACACACAAAACCAGACAGTACAGATTGTTGTAAAAGCCTAAACTGAGTTTTCTTTTTAATTTGTTTAATGTATTAATATTGTTTATGTCTATGGGCATGTGTATGAAGGTCAGTGAACAATTTTATGGAGTTGTTTTTCTCCTTCTACCTTTATATGAGTTCTGAGAATCATACTCAGGTCAACAGGCTTGCATGGGAATCGCTTTTACCCATAAGCCATTTCCCTGGTTCCTGTGTTTTCTTTTGTACTCCTAAAGACATCCTTTTGATGACTGGTGAGATCTGTTTACTGAACTAAAAAAGTAAACTTTTATAGAAAGTCTAGGTTCAGCAGAAGAATTCTTGGCCAGAGTGGATATAGAAGTTGACAGCCCAAACCCTATTCCAGTTCTTAGAAGTGTGGACCTCCGAGCAAGAGCAGGGATAGCTAGGATTCACGCCCCTCGGGACTTGCAGGTACCCTCAGATTCCCTCTGTTGTTACACTTTTGTGTCCAGGTTGATAGTTCTTTAATTGTGACAGCTTTTTAAATGCATTTTCCCTGTAGACTATCTATTTGTTGGCTGATGTGAATTCTTCAACAAAGCAATCCTTGCCTTTGAAAAACGCTGGGAATATTGAAGTTTATCTAGATATCAAGGTAAGAATTTCTGCAAAAGTGTGGTAGTATTTGTGTCCCTTACTTCCCAATGGCTGTTAAGTGGTCAGACGTGTCAGGATGTTATGAGAATTAACCTAAGAATTGCCAACGGTGTTGTAAAAATTGAGAGTCACTAGCCTGAAGTATATGTTATGGGTAATGCTAAAGCCTAATGCTAGAATATAAGTATTCTTGAATAATTACTGAGAAGTTTGTGTGACATCTGTGATTATGTAGAAAAGAACAGTCTGTGCATATAGGTTTATTTTTGAGATCCTTAGGTACATGAAGGGTAGCTGTCAGCCATTGGAGATGGGGAAGGAGGAAGATTTGAAATAGAGGAGGTAGGAGGAAAGAAATAGTCTTTTGGAAAACAATAAGACAAGTTAGGATTGCAATGAGCAAGAAGAAAGAACAGCAATATATCCTAGTTAATAAGAAAGACACATTAGGTGCTGGAGAGATGGCTCAGTAGTTAAAAGCAGTTTCTGCTCTTTCAGATGGTCCAGGTTTGGTTCCCAGCACCTTCATGGCGGCTTACATTTATCTCTACCTCCAGTGCTAAGGAATCTGACACTTTCTGGCCTCTGTGGGCATTGCACGCAACATGATGCACATGTATACATGCAGACAAAGTACTCATATACATAAATTTAAAAATCTGAAAATGGCTGAGTAGTGGTGGCAGCACATGCCTTTAAACTCAGTACTTAGGAGGCAGAGGCAGAGAGAGAGAGGCAGGTGGATCTCTGAGTTTAAGGTGAGCCTGAAGAAAAAAAAAATCTAAAAAATAGCAAAGAAAGGCACACAATACAAGAACATCTGAGGGAGAGCTTGCTTGCATGAGTTAAGTTGTGGCTCTATAATTGCTTAGGTCGCTGAACAAGGAAGTCAGTTTTCGGTAGACCCAGAGAGTTTGTTTCTTAAACCTGGAGAAGAACATGAAGTTACAGTTTCATTTACACCAAAGGATTCCAAAGCATGTGAGGAAAGGTAATATGAAAATATTTATAATGACCACTTGCTTATCTTCTTTCACTCACATGCAGATATGTCACCTAATACAGGCTATAAATGATACAACTGTGCTATAATCTTTTCAGTAACCCTTTGTGTGTGTGTGTGTGTGAACATGCACATATAGTTTATACATATGTAATTTACACAGACATACACACAGATATATACACACACATAGTAATTTGTATTATCACTGTTATAAGTATGATGTGTGTGGTATGGACATCACCTGCCATGGTGCATGTGTGGAGATCAGAGACAACTTTCAGTAGTTGTTGCTCCTTCCACCACATTCTGGGGACCAGATTCAAGTCCTTAGGCTTGTGCAGCAAGTGCTTTTCCCCACTGAATAATCTCACTGGCCCATCTTTTCTGTTTTGTCAGTAAAATGCTTCTCTTCAACCAACTAAATCAAAGTTAAAAATTGCTATTTCTGGTATACTCTGATAAACATAAATAGTAAAGCTTGATTATGGTGTTCCTCTTTAACTTTTTTCTTCCAAAAAGTCTTGACTTTGTTTTTTTTTTAAATTTATTGCTTTATAATCCTTCCCAGGTCTCCTCCAGGGCCTGTGACTTTGACATCTAAGTCATTAGTAATTTTCAGTCAGAATATCATTGTTGTTTGTGTTTGAACTTTGACTATGTGGAGCTAGCTTAGTATGTGCCTCAGAAGTACCAATGGAGACACATGCTGCTTCTCCCCGGCTTGGAGTACAGAATGCCCATGTCTAGGGAGTTTATTACTAGACTTCTGTGGAAAGGAGGGCACTAGTTAAGTACTTGTGCCTCAAGTGTTTGCCCTCAACCCTGCTGCTGTCAACTCTTCCCAAATTCCTCAAGAAATTTCTCTTGTGCTACCATGCAGACTTTATTGTGATTATCACTTTTGTGCGGTCTTTTCCCTGGAACGTAAGCTTTTGGGGTAGAGATACTGTTTTCATCACAAACTCAGTTTCTTGGACGGAGGGAGCGGATAGGCTGTTGTTGCCGGAAGACCTGACTATGGGACACTTGACTCCTGTTTTCTTCTTTGCTTAGGATCCTGATCATATTTGTGCAGCCGTTAGGACCTCAGTATGAAGTAACGCTAAGAGGTGAAGTCATTTCTTCTGGGAGTAAACCTCTGCCACCTGGACCTCACTGCTCAGATACTCCATTGATTCTGTCCAATAAGCAATTTCTGACTTGGGGTGGTGTCCCACTCGGCAGGACACAGTAAGTATTCAGGCAACCAGCTGAGAGGACTGAGATTCTGTTGTAATTCCCTAATGCTATTTTCTCAGATGTTAAATATGATTGTATTATTCTTTTTAGATTTGAGGTAAAGCTGTAATATATTGGCTTAATCTTCTTGATGATAAAGCAAAATTTTTAAAAAAAATTATAAAAATTTATGTCTGATTTTTAATTTATTTTATTTTTTTAGACTCTTTGAGCATTTAAGAGTATGAGAGCTCCTTTTATGGAAAGTCAGAAAGAAGATAATCAAGGCCCTGTTTCTTGTTTAGGGAGATTGCAATCCAGTTGATAAATACTTAGAACAGACTTCAAATTAAGTGATAATGGTTTTCATTTTTTTGTGCACAACAGGGATTTCTACACTTACTTTGTATTAAATGAAGAGAGAAAATAATTTCAAAGATGCAGGGTTTTTCATACTAGCAACCTGTTATTTATATATCCACTTAAATTCTAATGTCTTTAAGAGTTAATTCAGCATACTCCTGAAAGACTCTGTTGTACAAATAAGCATGGTAGCTCTGACCGCTTGTTTCTTTGAAAACAACACTGAGCAAAGAATTCCATGAGACTTTCTTCAGTAAATTCTATAGAGTTTTTTTTACAGTGTAGAATGTATACAATGTAAAAATTAGAGATACTTAAGTAAAACCCTTCCCTTGTTAGGATGAGCCTTAATAAGATGAGCTTTACGTTTTAAGAAACAAATTCCATAATTGTGGAGAGATGATTCTAGGCTATTAAGGTGACATGTATAATCATCCTATCTTTAGATCCTGTGGTCAGGCTTAGTTCGCTTTGTGTTTGTCACTGTAGCAGTATCCATAGGGGAAAAAAAAAGACATTTAAAATATGTAATTGTTTTTAGGCTTCAGAAACTAGCTTTAAGAAACAGTTCTACAACTACAGCCCAACATTTGCGACTGTTTATCAAAGGACAAGATCAGGATTGCTTTCAGGTTTGTACTCTGATCTTTGTTTTGTCTGGTTTAAACACTTTTTAAAAACTATTTTGTTTTGTTTATGTAGCAGGGTCTCACTGTATAGCCAAGGCTGGCCTGAAATTGATCCTACTGGTTCCCACAGGCCTGTACTACTACATACGACTTCTGTCTGATGTTTTTTTCTGAGTATGGAACACTCAATATATGCAGAACATTTGTTGTTTAATTTGTCTAAGATTGCTCTCACTATGTATCTCTGGCTGGCCTGGGATTCAATATGTAGACCAGACTGGCCTTGAACTTACAGCAATCTCCCTGCCTCGGCCTCCCAAACGCTGATTATAGGCATATGCCACTACACTGAACCTAGACCAAGTGTTTTTTTGTATCTGTTTTTTGCAGACCTGGGGCTGGAACCCAGTGTCTTATCCACTAGGTAAGCTCTCTATGACTAGGCTGTCTCTGTATTCAGACCAACTGATTTTTTTGTTGTTGTTGTTTATAGGTTTTAAAGATTTTTAAATTTTGTTTTACGTGTATGAGTGTTTTGCCTGCATGTATGTTTATGCAACATGTGTGTACCTGGTGCCTATAGAGTTCAGAAGAAGGTATCAGATTCTCTGGGACTGGAGTTACAGAAGCCTGTGAGTGCCGTGTAGGCACTAGGAACTAACCCTAGGTCCTCTGCAAGAGCAGTGCTCCTAATCGCCCAGCCGTCTTTCACACTCTAAGACTAACTGTAAGAGCTTGTATTTATGTGTGTTTCATGTGTGCTAGTGTTTGAGTTTATACAGTGGTTGTTTTTAAATTGTAGATTCAGAACACTTTTGGCTCAGAAGAACGATTAACCAGTAATTGTGAGATCAGAATTTGCCCAGGAGAGGACTTTATAATCTGTGTGTTATTTGCACCTACTCGATTATCTTGCATGTTGGCTAAATTAGAAATCAAACAACTTGGAAATCGATCACAGCCAGGTGTGAAGTTTATGGTAAGAGAAGTTTACTGCTCTTTTTTCTTCCATGAAGTTCATGTAAAGTTATAACCATTGCTTTAATATTGATAAATTATGTATTCTTATTTTTCTAAGTTATAGACTTAAAAACAAATGATAGAATAATTATCAAGTCATTCAGAGCAATCATTTTGAGGTTTATATAAAAAGCAATCCCAGTGCTTTTAAAGTTTTATTTCTGCTTGAGAAATTTGAAACATAACAATATCCAGGTAGAGATATTCAACTCAGCAAAATATTGTCTTAGCCCCTTTGGTCCATTACAAACAAAAAATACCACAAGCTAGATAATTAATTTATTATTTTATGTGTAGGAATGTTTTGCCTGCATGTCTCTGAACGATATGTGTGTGTGTGTGTGTGTGTGTGTGTGTGTGTGTGTGTGTTGCCCATGGATGCCAGAAGAAGGTGAGGCATCTCCTGGAACTAGAGTTACAGACTATTGTGAGCCTCCACGTGGTACTGGGAATTGAACCTTGATCCTCTGGAAGAGCATCCAGTGCTCTTAACTGCTGAGGCATCTCTCCAGCCCCACACCTGATAATGCTTAAACATTTATTCCTTATAGTTCTTAAGCTGGGTATCCAAGCTCAGTGTGCCAGCAAATTGACTCTCTAGCAAGGAGCTGCAGTCTGCTTTAGAGATGGCACTTCTTTTTCCATGTCTTCTCCTGGTGCAAGGGTGAGACACTCCCCTACCCTCTTATAGGCACACTAATTCCACTTTGGCAAGCAGAGCTGTCAGGACTTCATCACTTCCTGAAAGTCCCACTACTTAATGCTGCCATGCTGGGGATTATTTCAACAGGTGAATTTTGTGAGACACCGACATTTAGACTTTGGCAAATATCCCTTGATATAATTTTCTAGACTATGTTCTAGCCAGATACTGGGCCTACAAAGACAATATTTTTTAATGATTTTTAATTTTTTTTTTTAAATCTGCATTGGAGTTTTGCTTGTATGAAGATGTTGGATCCCCTGGAACCGGAGTTACAGGCAGCTAGGAGCTGCAATGTGGGTGCTGGGAATCGAACCTGGGTCCCCTGGAGGAGGAACCAGTGCTCTTAACCACTAAGCACTGAGACAGATTTTTTCTTCAGTCTGACAAATTTTCAAAACTTGATTTAACCATTTGCATAAATATATTCAGAACAACTACAGATAAGGATAAGTCATTGAGGAAAGAAAATAAGGGCAACACAGTGAGATGACAACACTCCACCCACGCAGAGGTGAACCTCTCAAACTGCACATTGATCTGGAAGTGAGAGCAGGGCTGAAATTGGTGTTCTTTCTGTGTCAGATGGGAATGTAGTCAAGTAGAAGATTGCCAAAATAGCTTTATTTGACACATGAGTTAACCTGTTATCTGTGGAGCAGTTTACTTAGTCCCAGGGTAGCCAAATGGTTTGAATATGTAAAGTGGTCCTTCTTGTACCCTGTGACAAAGCTCTAATGTACATGACTGCATAACATACTGACCTGGTTTCCTATGAAAATACAGTTGGGTTTGTAGAAAGGACTAAGTGAACTGTGTCCTTCACTCTATCCTGAATATGATATGATAACTTCCAGACTTACTAGCCAAGATTTGAGATTACTAGTCATTTAGGGCAGAACCATTTGATTTAACAGTCACCAAGTCCTAGTTCTAGTATGGGACCTCCTTAAACCAGAGTCTTAGTGCAATTTCTGCTTGCATAGATTCTCATAGAGCTGGGTAGGGTGGGATTTGTCTGTGGACTCTCCAGTTCAAAATGGCTTGTATTTCACAAAAAGACTTACACCATGAAAGATAAAATAGCCTACTAAAGTGATAGAAGGAAATCTCACTTGAGACTTGAGGGAATCCAAACAACCAGCTCTGTCTCATCATTTACACACTCTGGATTGTCATTTCAATATCTTCCTCATGACATACAGGTCTTGCTGTCTCAGCATTATGGTTTGGTTCTGAGGAATGAGTAGAATGTTCTGTGCTCTAAATAGCATAAAGTATGATGGACTTAAATAAAAATTAGTTTTTTCCATGTTGAAAGCATGTTAAGCATAATTTTTAATTGTTAGGTAGAATATCACATTTTGTTTTTAATGTAGCCTGAGATAAAGCTGTTCTCTCCATTCTTCTCAGGTTAACTGAGCTACATACGTGCAGAACCCACATTAACTTGTATGTAATCCCTAGGGTGCTAAAACTCTATTTTGTAGTCTCTGAGACCTGTGGTTCTCAACCCCAGGCTATGTTGCTCCCAGAGGTTTTTGGCAATATTGGAGACAGTTTTGATTGCTTTAACTGATACTAAGACAAGAGTATTGTCATTCCCCCAACCCCCCGACTTAACCACACCACACCACAAATCCAGCCCAAATGCCAATGGTGTTGGGCTTAAGAAATTCTCCTTTAAAACAATGATTATCTGTTGACATCAAGTCCCGTTGGTTTTTTGCTTTTATGTTTTATGCGTGATGTGCACATATGTGGACATGCACATGTGTGCATGCACATGGAGGCCAGAGGTTGACTTTGGGTCTTCCTTTGTCACTTTGCTTTATTTACTGAATCAGACTCTGAACCTGGCACTTGCTGTTTTGGTTAGCTAGCTTGCCTTAGAGCTTTTGGGGTATATTTACTAAGTACTGGGTTTGGGTGATCTGAACTCTTACCTCATGCTTGTATGGAAAGAACTTTATACGTTGAGCCAAAAAATCTTGTGTGTTTTATACTGTTTCTCTTGATATTATTTTCTAAATGCTGTAATAGTTATTTTAATAGCATTTATAATGTATTGCATAATATATTCTCTAGAGATGATTTAAAGGATATATTGGGATGTACATAGGTCGTGTGTAACAACAATGTCATTTTATATAAAGGACTTGAGCATCACAGAATTTAGTACTCATGGGTATGAGGGGGTAGCCTGGAACAGATCCCCTGAGGATATTGAGGGACAAATGTACAGAAAGAATACATATATTGAGGGTTTTCAAAGGTGCATTTTCTCTTTATCATTTTGTTTAATTTTATGCAGATAATTTATGCATAAAACTGTAGAAAATGAAAAAAATTGAAAATTTTGGCTCTTTCAACTATAGGAAGTCATTTTAAATGATAAAATTTGTAGGTTTCTATTCTGAAGGTCTTGGAAATGTTATTACTTTATAATAAATCAAGCAAATTTATGAGGATCCTCAGTTTAGCGTTCAGTGTTGTTTTGATTAGATATATCAGACAAATCAAAATCAGTTGTTGATTTTTTCATATTCTCAATGGACTATTTGTAACCTGTGAAAATTAAGTTTTAGAGATGCCTGTTGACCAGCATAGGTTACTTTCTAGCAAGGTAAATCCTTTCCTTACTTCCATTATAAAAGAAGGTATCTATAAGTCCTCCTTGTTTAGAAGGTTCAGCTCCTGTAAAAACTGCAGCAAGTATCTCTCAAACCTGGCTTTAGTTTCAGGTTTCCAATTCCCTAGCTTGCCTGGAGTTTTGAGTACTAGTCCTCAGTTTGGTTTTGTTTGCAGGCTTCTCTTTGACAGTAGCTCTGGCAAAACACTGTGAGATGATAGCATAGCCCTGACGGTCCTGTGTAGACCAGGCTGGCTTTGAACCCATAGATTCTCTTGTCTCTGCCTCCCTGAGTGCTGCGATTACAGGCATGTACAGTTAAACCTGGGTTCTTAATTATTGTAGAATAATTTGGAGAAAGGAAATAATCACATTTCTCCTAAAGTACTCTATTATGAAAAGTTTCTGAGTTACAGGGAAGTTGCAAAAATACCAATTACATTCTACAATTTTACCACACAGCTGACCACTTACCAGTACATTTATACTGAAATGTTTTTAGGCATTTCAAAATAAATTACAATATTACTAGTATAGCTATGCTTGCATTCATTTGTTAAGAGAAACATATTATTGTTCTTTGGTTAAGCTTGAGTTATGCAACAGGAAATGATTGTTATTTATGTAGTCAGAAGATTAATGGAGTTTAGAAGTGCTGTTTGTATTTCCTTTACAAATGTATATAACTATACATACACATATACATTAGTGGTGGACTAGAATTTGGGCAATTGCTAGCTCAAGGATACAAATGCTAAAAACTTTAATTGTATTAAATCTATGTTTTCTTTTGACTGTAATTAATTTTTCTGCTTTCTTATATAAAAATAATTTTGGATCTGTGTATTTTTTATTTCTTAGATACCTTTGTCTGGATATGGAGGAACAAGTAATCTTATTTTAGAAAATGTTAAGAAATTATCTGACAGTTACTTGGTAACAATGAATGGCTTAATTCCTGGCAAAGAAAGTAAAGTTATTTTTTCTATTCGCAACACTGGCTCCAGAGCGGCCTTTGTTAGAGCAGTATGTTTTAAAGATTCTCAAAGAAAAGTTTTGTTGGATCCTAAAGTATTGAGGATTTTTCCAGATAAATTTGTACTTAAGGAAAGAACCAAAGAAGTAAGTATACAATCTCTGCCCTAAAAAATAAAGTTATATTTTGATTAATATTAATTAGTATTTTATGGCCAAGTGTTAAAATCATTTTGGGAGGGAGTGTGGGATAGAAGACTTACCTAGTCTTTCTGAGAGAGCTGCTGTACATATTTTCTTTCTTTCTTCTTTTTTTTTTTTCCAAGATGGAGTTTCTCTGTGTAGCCATGGCTATCCTGGAACTGTTGACCAGGCTAGCCTTGTCCTCAGAGACTGGCCAGTTTCTGCCTTTTGAGTATATGCAGAATATATATAAGTATATATCCTGTCTGTGGTCTCCTTAGTATTGTAGGACTGTTTATTCAGAGTGAGATAACTTACTAAGGAAAAATACTGAATATTCATACTCTTGCTCTTCTTTTTGTTGTATCAGGATATTACTTTAGTATACAATCCATCAAGCAGAAAGAGTGACGATAAACCTGCCACAGAACTATTAACCATCTACATGTTTGGTGGTGATGAGATCTCCAGACAGCAGTATCGAAGGTAAAACTTACCTTAGACAATGTTGGGAACTGACTGGTGAAATCTGGACAATTGATGACTTGGAAACTTTAGAACACACCTCACTGTTTATTAGTCAAATGATAGATGGAGAAAAACATTGTAAAAAGTGTTTGGCTCATACGTTGGCCTAAGTGTGTTTCCCTACATTCTGCCTTGTTTCTTGACGTATGGGTGCTTTTTCCCCCTCACCTAATAGGACGGTCATACTTCACACTGCTCCTACATATTTAAAACTACTACATCATCCTTTTCCTACCCTAGATTATGTTATATAAACCTACATGATTAATTTAGAGTATTTCTAGGAAGACTATAAATTACTAGAAAGGATCATTATATTTTAGAAATGTGTAGATGGTTTACCTTATAGATACTTTATAAAATTTGATACATCTAATATTCATGTGATTTAATATACAGAGCTGGAAAGTTTGGAATATTTTTCTATGTCAAGTGTGATTAAAATATTGGTGCATTACTATGTGTTAAGTTCTGGGTGCTTCTTGTTGCAAAATGGAGGTTTTTGGGCTAGAGAACTTAAGTACAAGATAGATGGAACTCATGTTGAGAGCGATGGTTACTCTGTGATCCTTTGAAGCTGGCTGATATTCTCTCTCTCTCTCTCTCTCTCTCTCTTTTTGGAGGCAAAGTCTCTCTACATAGTCCTGTCTGTCCTGTGTAGACCAGGCTGGCTTTGAATTCATAGAGATTCACCTGCCTCTGCCTCCTTGAGTGCTGGGATTACAGGTGTGTGCCACCAAGCACAGTTAAAACCTGGCTTCTTGTTATTTTAGAATAATTTGGAGAAAGGACATAGTCACATTTTCTGTTTCTCCTTCTCTATACTAAAACATAAAAAGAAAAAACAAACGAACAAAAAACCGTAGTGTATTGTTTTATAACTTCTCTTTACCATAAAGTTATGTACTGAAATTTTCTTTGGTTGTGAACATCTGAGAATTACAGAGACATTTATAGTTTATTTCTCACTGTAAAGATCCTTTGGAAGATGCCTATTTTTACAGTAGTTAAGTGGTTACTTAAATATTTTAAAAAACAGTTTATTATTTATTGTTCTTTTCTCCCCACTGAGGCAAGTTCTTTGACCAAATTGTCACAAATAATGACAAGATAAGCCCTGGAAAGAATCCAGTTCTCTTTCCATTCTTACATTAAAGAGCCTCTACCTTGATACTACTATTGAACTAACATTAGTGATTCCACTGCCATGTAAGCTGACCTTCTAAAGCAGGTTTGGCTCTAAAGGTACTTACCTTATGATTTAGGATGTATGATCTATATGTGAGTGTGTCCTGCTGTTAGTGGGGTTTGTCAAATGATTAAAGTCTGGTTTGGGTCACTTTATATATAAAGTGAATAAAAATCTTTTCTGGCAGAGCTCTGTTGCATAATCCAGGAATCATAAAGCAGATCCTTCCAGAACATAGTGTGCTACAGCACATGGACTTTGCTGAGGCATTTCAGGATGAGCTACTCATGGATGAAGGTAAGAACGGTAACACCTTGATGTTGTGGTCACTTGTGCTATTATCTAGGCATGGGGTGAGAACAGGAAGGAGTTTATTTTGGATATGGTATCCATCTGAGTCTGAGCTGTCTGACTTTGAACAAACCACATCAGTGAGTTTCAGTTTCCTTCTTGTTTCTTATCTGTAAGAGTTGTTTTGAAAATCAGATGGAAGAGCTTTGCTTTATAAACATTTTAGGTATTAGTTAAGTGTCTAGATTTCAGGCTCATAAATGGAAGAAGGATGGGGCCATTATTACACTCAGGTTCATGTTGTTTTAGGTTTCTTGATTGTGTTTAGAGATGTAGTGGTGTCCAGAAAATCCCAGATAGACATGCAGAGCACTAGCCTAGATGCTTAGTCTCATTTGAGAGAAACATTCAGATGTTTGTTTATTTATCCACATGAAATAAATGTACTAAGTAAGACATACAAACTATGTAGAAATACATACATAATTTTTATACCATAAAATGGGGAGTCACAGAGAAAGGGCCAGTCACTGAGAGTGAGTTGACTGTTGAATAATAATTAAAGAACAAGAAATGTCGACAAACTGGAAAAGATGGACCAGAATGAGGAACAATGCTTCAGGGTAGCTCCTTGTCCAGAAATTGAAGAAATGTGTTGTGAGAAGAGATGTTTTGGCAAATCCACTGGGAACTCAAATAATTTTCAAGATCACTCATCTAAGGTGGTATGAGTTGGGACTTTGATGAGCTTTCTGTTTGTTTTTGTTTTTTTTTAAGATTTTGTTTATCTTATGTATATGACGAGTACACTGTAGCTGTCTTCAGACACACCAGAAGAGGGCATCAGATCCCATTACAGATGGTTGTGAGCCACCATGTGGTTGCTGGGAATTGAACTTAGGATCTCTGGAAGAGCAGTCAGTGCTCTTAACCACTTAGCCATCTCTCCAGCCCATGATTTTCATTTAAAATATGTACCTTTTAAAGAATGATTGAATGAAATACATTCTAAGGTTTCAATATGTATGTGTATGTATGTATATATGTATATATGTATGTATATATATATACATATATATATATATGAATGAATGAAACACACATACACATATACACATACACATACATACACATTTAGGAAGCCTAATCTAAAGATGTTCATGATGTACATACTTTTATTAATCTAGAAAAATCTAGTGACTAGTTTCTAGATTTGCTTAACTGTGAAACTTGTGCTTAACCTTTTTGTGCTCCAGATTCTTCCTTTTAAATATGTACCTTGTAATACCTACCTCAAAGTGTCCCTCTGGAAATTTAGCTAACCTGAAGAACTAGAATGGTGCCTTGGTCACCATATATCTTGAAAAATATTCCCAGAACCCCTGAGATAGATTATTACTACCATTCCAGATAGCTAAGGAAAACTAAAGCTCAGAGAAGTTCATTCAGTTGCCAAAGGTCACAGAGTGGCAAAGATGATAGTTTACATTTTGATTCAGAATTTGTCATCTCTGATGGTAGATGGTCTATACCAGTCAGTGGTATTAATAATTGAAATACTTCCTACCCCAACCTAAGGAAATAATATGGCTATTTGTAAATGCTGTGCTTGTGTGAGGATTTATGTGTTTCAAAGCATATGTTTTTGCAGCATGTGATCTTCCTCAGCGTCCTAATGACATTCAGCTCTTTTATGGAAGCATGCGTAAAATTACCCTATCAGTAATTGGAGAATTCAGAGATTCCATTTGCAGCAGAGAACTTCTTCAGCCTTCCTCCAGTGATGAATCTAAAAGGTAAACAAACACACAGTCTTTCCCCAGATTCCATGACTAATCCATTCTGCAGTTCATCTTCGCCCCTCTGTTATTTTCTCTCAGGTTTTTATCTTTTTAGCTTAATTTGAAATTGTTTAAAATTCCTGGAAGAGTTTGAAAATAATGTAGACTACTTTTGAAAAACCCAATACTCAGATATCCTAATTGTTAGCATTTTACTACTGTGTTGCCATCTCTTATTTATAGAGACTTTATCTTAGTTACATTACAGTGAATTGCAGGAATGGGGAACCCTAAGGTGCTAAAATTACTCCCATAGTTAACCTATCAGAATTAGAACATTTAACATCAAGACAGATATCATAGTACATGGGCTCTGTTTATATATCTTCAAGTGTTACTATAAAGCTCTCCATAGTTAAACTGTGAAAGAAGATCCTCTTTGTCTCTTGTCTAGAATCAAAGAATATATTGTATTTTGATGACCTGTCTTTTCAGTAATGAATAGTCTGTCCTTCGTTACCATTCATAGATGAGAGTATATGAATGGATTATCAAGTCATAACCTCAGTCAAAGAATTCCATGCTTAATTTTTGCTGATAAATTGAGATCAAGTTTGAGATTGTCTGTGGTGCTTCCTGGATACTTTTTATGTTGATACTCGTCCAGTTTAACACAGGTTCTCTGTGTCCAGCAGTGTGTAGCAGAAGGGAGCTATTTCAAGCATGAAAGTTCTGTTTTATAGTTTGGTTATTAAATAATTTATATGATAATTTTCAAAGAGCTATCCCACAGACTCATGAATTCCAGGTTTTTCTATTATAGACAGTTGTATGCAGTTGGTACTACTAAACACACTACTATATTCATTCCGTAGACAAAGGCGTTAATGTGCTGGCTGTGAGATTGCCAGATCTGCCCAAGTCATCTCTGTTTTCCTGAGTACTCCTAGTAAAATAGATAGCTCACAGCCTTCTGCTGGTCATTTTCCTATGAATGACTTTTTAGCTTGCACATTCAAAGAAAAGACACAGTTTGATTTTATTTCTGTGTATCTTCACTGGTGGTGTATGACACAGACCTGTCCTGGTCGTTTTTGTTTTCTCATGTACTAGCCAGACTGACCTCAGACTCCCAGAGACTCAACTGCCTCTGTCTTCTGGGAGGCAGTAGCAGTGTTTCTGTCACATGGTTAAAATAGTGTCTCTGGTTCTCCACCTCAAAATCAGTATCTTTAAACAAATCATCAGATAGGTAAATTATTTTGTTATCACATTTTTTATATCTGTTGGTAATTGTTGCCTGATTCATGTTATTTCTACCAGGTAGCCAAAGGTTTTACATTTCTATATTTATTAGAGACTTTACTTACTAACAGTAGGGTGGCTTGTAGAGTCAATGGACCTTTTTCTCCTGTCTCATTCTGGCTCATTATTTCTTTTGATGGATCTTCCGGGAATCTGGAATGGCAGATCCAGGAATGGCACTGCCTGTGTCCATGTTGTTGTAGTGGGAGAGCTAAGAAATGCATGAGTTCATGCATAAATCCAGGTTTCTACATGTCACACAAAGCAAACAGGAGTTTATGTCATTGCCTCCAATTCCTATCTTAACATATTGTATATCCTTCCCGTAATTACATAGTTTTCTTTAATTAACCCCATTATCCTCTTTTGCCTTAAGGTTTCACTCAATCTCCCAATCTCCAAATAAGGGGTGGCAGTGTCCCCCCCACCTCTGATTTTCTGTTTGGTGTTGATTGGAAATAGAGCTGGGGGTTCCATGTGTCAGGAAGAATTTTGACACTGCACAATAAAACTTCAATTATGATTTGTACCTTTGTGATTACCAGACTTACTAGAGAATAAGGAGTCTTCTGGGGCTGTTAGCATTTCTCCAGAAGACTTTGCTGTTTTGATGGATTTTGGTGTCACTGTGTAAAGCCAGTTATTGTGCAGCTACAGATATGTTAAAAAGTAATTTGGGTTTTCTTTTTTTCCCCCTTTCTTTCTGTCCTTCCCTCTCTCTTTCTTCTTCTTTTCTTTCTTCTTCCTTTGACAAGATTTGACTATGCAGTTCTTGCTGGCCAGGTATTCCTATGTGGGCCTCCTTCACTGAGAACTTACCTGTCTCTGCCCCAAAGTGTTGAGATTAAAGGTGTGTACCACCACCATGCTTAGTCAATTTGGTTTTTCTATTAGGCCATTTTCCAGTAAAACTTTTAAGAGATTTAAGATACAGAAATCAGGTAGAAAAAAGATGGAAATCACCAAATAGTTTGATTAAAGTTACACGTGTACTGTGTAACTTACACGGTTTTTTGTTTGTTTGTTTTTGGTTTTTAATTCTCTGTCTTTTCTCCTGTAATGCTAGGGTCAAACCCCAGGGCATTGTCATGCATGATGAGCACCCTGTCTCAGAGCTACATCCTACACCCTATAAAGTAGTTTTAAGTATATAAAAAACATGGAGACTTTGTATTTACTGAAATAATATGATATATCATACCCTTTTATTCCTGTCCTAGTTTATTTTATGAAGCATTGATATAGAAATGTAAAACAATTACATTTGTTAATATTTTTAATGTATTTCTCTTAATCTTCTGTTTTTAAGTAATTTCTCCAGTGAATCAGGAACTTCTGGCAAACAAAGCGGCAGTGTCTTTTTGGATGATTTACCAGTTAAAGGCCCTCAAGGTCCTCCTTTTCTCTCACAAACTGCCCACCCAGCTCAGGACTCACCAACCTCTGAGGAAAGGTGGGCTGTCCATCCGGAACACTTGATTCTGGTAGCTCCTTCTTCCTGTGAGTATTTTGGTAAGAACTTCTCAGAAGTGCATTTAGGAGTGAGGTCTGCATCTCTGTATCTGTGGCTCACTTTAGTCTGGCTTCCACCTCTGAGGTGGTTGTTACTCCACCTAAGGAGCTCTACGTGCTGCTTATTGACTTAGCATTGATACTATGGGTTCAGAGTAGGAAGAAATTGTACACGTGTGTTTCCCACAGTGAAATCAGGTGAGAGCATTTTCAAGTTCATAGTCCCTCTAACCTGGTTTAGTGTCGATAGTGTCTTTCTAGTTTCCAGGAGTTATCAAAAAGACCTACTTTAACACAGACTCGAAATTTCTATAATTACACTGTTGAGAAAAGTAAAATAAATTGCTATGCAAGTGCATTTACTCAGGATTCACTATTGCTAACATGTATCTTTTTCATTATGGTTAAATGCAATTAATATTATTTATCTGATACAATAGGTGATTTGGCAAAAACTGGATGTTTCCAGATTATAAATAATTCAGTTACCTTACTGAAATTTGAGCTATACTGGCCAGCACATTGCCTAACAGTCACACCACAACATGGATTTATCATGCCAGAGTAAGTATGGTTTTTTTTCCTTCTGTGTTTTATTCAAATGCCATCATGGAGGCTTTTTATTTTATTTTATTGTTGTTTTTTGAGGGGGACAAGATTTATTAGTGTAGGCCTAACTATCATGGCATTTGCTCTGTAGATGAGGTTGGCCTCAAACTCAGAGATCTCCCTGTCTCTGCCTCAGAGTGCTTGGAATAAAGATGTGCATTACCATGCCCAGATTTTTAGAGGCCTTTCAAAGTAATGTATTAGTTATATATAATGAGTATAAAACATTTTACATGTATATTAATATACATGTATTTTGATCATACTTCCCTTCTGTTCCCATTCCCACTGATTCCTTTTCTTGTCTCAACTGAAGGACCAGCTGACCTCATATGACTTTGTTCTGGGTTAATGTATAGCTCTGTCATAGAGCTCTTGCCTGGCATGTACAAGGACTTGGTTTCTGTTCCCAGCACAGTACAGATAAGCAAATAAAGTTATTCAGTAGAAGTCTGCTTTGTGCCAACAAAGTACACATGTGATTTTTATAACACACAGTTAAGAATCACTCCTTTTAGTGGAGTAGAGGTCATACACATAGCTATGTAGGCTGTGCTATCATGGTAAAGAGACATGATTGATGAGGAACAGAACCCTGGAATAGAAGTTATCAAAGTGTTTCTGACACACTATTCTAGTCACAAATTCACAATGAGGGAATAAAGCCAGGTATGTGATAGGGGTTGGCAGTCTCTTATAAAGCCTATCTGTTTTGCCTTCTGTCTCCTTAGTTTGACATGGTGCATTCCAGTTTGTTTGTTTTGTTTTGTTTATTGTTGTTTGTTTTTGTTTTATTTTTCTGAAGACATTTTTTAGCCAGAACTTTCTGATTTGTAACATGTCTAAGCCACAACCTAGCTTATCATTTTCTACATAGAATGTTCTAAGATGGAGTCTTCTAAGAGCAGCTATTTCTACTCGGGTATTCTCTGTACACAGCCTAATTATGGACAAGATGAAAAACCACAGCTCTGCAGCTTTCCGGGGATTCTATCTGGTTAGCATAGATCTTTCCCATCTAAGTTGCTCAGTATTTGTAATGAACAGCATTGCAGAAGAATAGCACAGAGTTCATGTACATTTGCAAAATTATGACTGTGCATATTTGTAGAGTTTGGGGGACTAATGCTCTGAACTAAGTTAAGTACAGGGTACCCAGAGTATCCGTGGAGTAAAGCAATTCAGGTTGTACTGAATGCTAATCACATGCAGCAGACCTTTGACAGCCAGTGAGTAAAAAGAAAGGGGGGGGGTGGTAAAACAGTTATTTTATAAATGACCTTGGGGCCCCATGTATTGGCTATTAGCAATAGAAAATAATTTTGCCATGCTATTTTGCCATGTGTGATTTTTTTCATAGACATAAGTGTGATCTTTTCATTTAAACTTACATTAGCATACATGGTCCTGGAAGAGAAATTGAAAACAGAGATCAATAACTGGATTATTAACACACACACACACACACACACACACACACACACACACACCCTTCCTTCATTTTCTTTCAGTTTACTTGAAAGTTGGGTCAGGGTTTGTGTAGTCTGAATTTATCTGGAGTTGATTCTGAGATAGTATCTTTGTTCAATGGTTTGTATTCCAGTGAGTTTTCCTTAGGGCTGTGGATTCATGCCAATATGCTTTTTGTTTGTCATTTTTTGGGTATTGAGGCCAGAAGAACTGTGTCAGGAAATTGAGAGAGAAAACCACATTCTCTGTTTTTTTTTTTTTCCTAGCCACAGGAAATGATTTGTTATTGGCAGAACAGTATTTCTAACCTTTGCCATTACTACTATAAAAGTGAAGAATATTCTCAATGCTCATTATTAATTTTTTTAAAGGAGTAAAATACAAGTTCTCGTGAGTCCTAATTTTTCCGTGTCCACAAAAGAGTCAATGTTCCCATGGAGTGGTTTGATCTACATACACTGTGATAACGGACAGAAGGTATGTCTCTTTGTTTTTCTGAACAGTGTTCCTTTTATTTTTAGTTTCAGTTTCACATCCTTATTAACATTTACATTTCAGAAGTCAGTGAAACCCAAGTAGGTATTCTGACACAGAACACTTAGTTCAGAATTTTGCTCTGTGTGATCTGAGCAGTTTTCATGGGAGACTAGTGATGGGAAGCAAGGGCCTGGTAACTATTTGCTTTGAAATCAAAAACAAAGGTTGGAGGGAGGCAGAGGAGGTGGCTCGGTAGGTAAAACACTTGCCTTCTAAGTGTCAGACCTGAGTTCAGAGCTTGAGACCCTAGGAAAAGCCAGACATAGGAATCAGCATCTGCTTACCCCCATGAGCCTCCAGGAGGAAGGAAGCAGAGGCAGGGAGTCCCTGGAGGCTCAGTTGTGTCTTAGCCAGTGTACATAGAAACAGACAAGAGACCTTACTTAAAACACTGTAGAAGATGACACTCAAGGTTATCCTATGACTTTCCCATGAGTACTCAGGCACATATGTGTACACATACACAGCACATGGATGCAGGGATAGTAGAAGGGAGGGAGGGAGGAGGAGGAGAAAGGCTACTCCTGAGAGAGGAAATTGAACCAAAACATTATTTGAGATCTGGATGAACTTCTCAACGTTTTATTTGTTTGGAATTTCTTTACCATAATTTGAAAACCAGAATGTGTCTTTTAAACTGATAGCTACTTCTGTGTCTTACTCATTTGGCTCATTTCAGAAAATTGTAAAAGTTCAAATTCGAGAAGATTTGACTCAAGAACCTTTACCTCATGTGCCCTCCTCCGGCACATTTGGAATTCTTGCCCCAGCACCACCTGAGCCTTCCATTAGTCATTTGACAAAACCAATTGCAAAACCGCCTTCCACAAAAGTTGAAATTAGAAGCAAGACAGTGATTTTTCCTCCAACAGAACCTGGTAAAACCTCAGGTATGGTGTTCCAAAGTCAGGTGGGTTGGATAGCAGTTGCTGTGTGCAGTCTGGTGTTTTGTTTTTAGTTATTTTTTTCTTTTGTTTTGGTTTTAGTATTTGTTTTTGTCTACTAGGGATCAAAGCCAGGGCATCACACATGTTAGTGCTATCCTGCTGAACTATACTTTTTGTCCCTTGCGCTGAAAGGTCACCTTGAGTTATTATAAGTACAAATTTTACTCTTACATAAGGAGAGCATTATGGAGCCATTGGCAGTCATTTCAATAATGGAATGGTTTTGAAAACACAGTCTTAAAATCTGAAGCTTGGGCTCTAATAACTGTATTTAGGTCTCATTAGATGGTCATTACTATCCTGTTCCAACCAGATCTCTGACCTAGTAGTTTAATGAGATGGCTGTCTTAGGGTTTTGTTGCAGTGAAGAGACACCATAATCACAGCAACTCTTACCAAAAAAAAAATGTGGTTCCTCCAAAGTCCTCACATAATTTCTTTTTTATCTTTGTCTCTTTCTCCTTCTCCTTGCAGACCTTTGCTAAATGAACAATATTATTTGGGTGTTCTATAAAGGACTTGGCTCCCTGTCTCACTGAGACATATGGTACCTTCCATTGACTTTGTCTTTCTAGTCCTCTCCTGGCCTGTACCATTTACCCCAGTAGCTCACCCTGCTCTTACTTTTATCTCAGGACCTTTCCTGTCTTCTGCTCCAGAGATTTTAGTCTTTCCAACCTTGGTGACGTTTCCACTCCATGGCCCACATCCTTCATGCCTTCTGTCACTCAGCTCAGGTCCCTCTTTTCTTAGACTCCTTGAATCCTGTGGCCTGTCTGCATAGCCATAGCCTTCCCCACTTTACTTGATTTTCCTTGCCTTCTTGTTAAACCATGGTTAAACTTAGCTGTCTGGCTGCTCGTGTCCCTACTCCAGCATTACTGGGCAAACAGGTTCATAGTCCCAGATGCTCCTTTACCGTGTTCTCACCAGCAGCCCATGTCCCAGCTGTTCCAAATCCTCTCACTTTCTCAACTCCCGACTTTGCTTCACACATAGAGAAGTCATTAGGCTAAGTGAAGTCTCTGTTTTCTGTTATAATGGAAGCCTTCTCCTTAACTCTAGGCCTATCTAGTCTGCTTTTTCAGGACTCTCCTGGCCCTGTCCTTTGCTTGGCCTTCCGTTTCTTCTCCTTTGTGAGCTCCTTTCAGTGATCCCACAGTGAGCTACTCTTGTAACCCAGCTTCTGAAGTTTTGTGCACCTGAGCTCTGGGCCCACTGATGCCCTTCCCCCTCCTCTGTGGTTTCCCTGAGCACTGGCCTGTAAACTGTGGCTGGTGCTTGCTGTGTGCTCAGGTGATGTGTTCGTAGAGGTGTCGGACCCAGGACAGAACCTGCCTCTCCTCTAGTGTGACCATTTAAGTCACTGATACCTGTCCTAGTCCATTGTAATCTTGCTTTCCTGTTTCAAGCTTTCAATATCTTGGCATTGTGCTTTTGAAAAAAATCCAAAAACAGGATATCTGACACATCTGATTCTTTAGAAAGTTCTGTAGTTTCCCCTGGACTGTAAGGTCATAAAGTTTGTCACAGAACTGCTTGCCACAACCTCTCGGAGTCAAGTGGTACTTTTTTTTCTTTTCAGAGAACTATCTGGAACTAGAGAATGGTGGCCCCACAGATGTAAAGTGGCACCTGTCATCTTTTGCTCCCCCTTATGTCAAGGTCAGTCATGTAACTGTTGAGACTTTGAGCTCTTTCACACCCTGAATGCAAGTGCAGGTTGACATCCTGGTTGTATGTGCTGCCACTTGTGTTTTTCTGTAGGGGGGGATGCCGTGTACCCAGATAATTCTGAGAGTCAACTTGGAAAACTGTATTTAAAAATGGAAAACAAAACAAAAGTGCTTACTCCATCTAATTTTTCTTGTCCTGATTTTTATCTGGAATAATTTAATTTGAGAAGTGTTGAGGGCTTTATTGAGCCTTTGTACACTCACTGCTTCCTTCTATGTGCACTGTGGTCTTTGTTCACGTGTTGTTATGTCTGTCATGTTTCAGCTCATGGGAGCTACTGCAGGTGGGGTGGAACACTGTTGGTGATTGTCACCATGCCACCTACTGCTCTTCCAGTACTACTGCCCAAAGAGAACAGCTTGTCATTTGTATGGTTCAGTATTTTGTGACACTGTTTGTTGTTGTTTTTTTGTTTTTTGTGTTTTTTTTTTTTCTTTTTTACAACAAGAGTTCTATGTAACCTTGCCCGGCCTAGAACTATGTAGACTAGACTGGCCTTAAATTCGTAGAGATCCTCCCGCCTCTGTTCCTAAGTGCTGAGATCAAAGGTGTGCACCAGTATGCCTGGCTGTGACACAGTTGAGGTAGATAGTTACTGGATATATTGCAATAATGATTTAGTTTTGCAATAGTATTAAAATGTATATCAGCAGGGTCTTTGGGGCAGGCAGTCATTTGACATTATAAATAGCATCAAGCTCACAGTGGACAGATTTACCCTTTTGTGTGCTGTCGACAACCAATGTAATGGCACGTACAGAGCTCATCTGGGCAGGAAGCTCTTTCTTAGGAATGTACTGTGTGTTCTGGATCTATTTGAGATGAATTTGTCCTGTCTTCCATAACTAAAAATAATGGGATCTCTTTTATTAGTTTATTGGATATGATTTTTATCATTTAAATAATAATTAAATAGCCATTTAATTATTTTAAATGATTATTCTCCAGGGAGTTGATGAAACTGGAGGTGTTTTTAGAGCTACCTACACAGCGTTCAGATGTTCTCCCATTTCTGGCACACTAGAAGGCCATGGAGTCCAAAAGGTGAGTTTTGGAATTTTATAGACAGCTGGTAAGAGCATGATAGTATTCTACCAGGAATGAATCATGTGACGGTTGCTTCAGTTTGCTTTCTTTAGACCAGCTCTCCACTGGGGAGGAGATCTGCTTGGTACAAGCACACGTCTGTTGTGCTGTGGCGGGGCGTCTGCTTCCAGAGAAGTGTAAGCTAAACAGCACAGAGTGTGGGGATAAGGGTTGCAGTTGCTGGTGTCAAAAATCAAACTTCACTGATCAAGAGTAGTTCTGTCTACCAGCCATAGCCATTGAAATCACCATTCTTCAGAAAAATCCAACAGTCACAGTATAGTTTTCAGTATGTTTTCATGGGTAGCAAAACCTTCCAGCTATTATGAACTTTTATTTACTTTCCAAGTATGATTTTTAAAATTATTTTTTTATATTTTGAGATTATAATAGTTATATTATTTCCACCTTCCCCTCCACCCTCCAAGTGCTCCCATTACTCCTTCTTATTCTCTTTCAGATTCATGACCTGTTTTCTATTATTGTTCCATATGTAGTCTTACTCAAAACCCCATCCAGAGGCCTGGAGAAATGGCTCAGTGGTTTCCCAGCACTCATGTTGGGTGGCTCATAACTGCCTCCACCTTCAAAGGATCTGACTCATTTGGCCTCTGGATACACACACACAGATACACACAAACACACACACACACATATGCACATAAAAATTTTAAAAAATGTACGTGGGCTTTAAATATTTTAAATCTTGTTCTGTTTTATTTGTGAGTTTGTTTTTAAAGTTGCTGTATTTAAAATTCTTTATTCCAGAGCAAATAGGTGAATGCTATAGAATTTTAAAGGCACTGGTAACAGAGAAAGTTACTTGAAGGAAGGCCTTGGAACTTTGTCGTGTCAGAATTAGAATAGAGGACTCCATAATTAACCTGGTATCCATTTGATGTTGTATTTATGGTTAGAAAGTTTCAGAACAGGAACTCTAGGTTCTTCCAGACTTATTTAGGATAAGTTCATTGCAGCCACAATGTAACACTTGTACTGAGTCACTGATCTTCAGGCCGGTTTCTTAGTTTCAGCTGTTACACTTGCACTTGACATGCTGACAGCCCATCATTGATAGTACTGAATATATCTTGAGATTAATAGAAAATTTCATAATTAGTAGAAAAGTTGATATTGGCATAAACCAGGATGTGGGAAGATGGTACCAGGTATGCTATGTATTATATCACAAAATAAGCAGGAAAAGGGTGTGTGTGTATGTATGTATGTATGTATGTGTGTGTGTGTGTGTGTGTGTGTGTGTGTGTCTCAGTGGAGTCTTCTCCTTTTAGGTTTCAGCATCTCTGAGACTAAGCATTTGCTTTCTGATTGTGTGTTCTATGCAACCTTCTTTTACTTCTCTGTGTTCATACACTATTGTTTCCTGTTACTTTTGTTTTAAGTTGACAGAGTGGTCCTAAAGTTCATAGAGATGCATCCACAGGGATCCACAGTAATGGAAAGAGCATGAGAAGAGTCCCATGGGGCGGACTCACAGTCCTCAGTTCCGGACACGGTGACTAGGGTACATTCAGTGGCATAGAACTCAGCCCTCATGTCTGTGCTCAGCTGATATTCTTAATTAGGAAACTAAGACAAAATGGAAAAATACAGCAAATAGCAGTTGGATGACATGATCTGTGCAGGTCAAACATGTGACTCACTTGTCGCCAAAGCATTAGTTACTTTGCTCATTGCAGTGACAAAATGCCTGACAAGCAGCAGCCTGAGGACTGGAAGTGTGTTTTGGCTCACAGTTTGATTGGATCCAGCCCTTTATGGAGGAGATAAACCGCTGACAGGGGTGTGCAGCTGGGACTCCCTGTTCTTAGCAGGATAAGAAGCACAGACAGGAAGGGACAGGAAGGTGGGATGAGCTATAACACATCAAAGTTTGTTCCCAGGGATCCATTTCCTTCAGTTAGACTCAAAATTTCTAAAGGTTCCAGAGCCTTCTAAGACAGCACCACAAACTGGGTGGCATAGGAACACATAATCAGAAAGCAAATACTTAGTCTCAGAGATACTGAAACCTAGAAGTGTCCAAACATGAGACTGACAGACATTACATTACTCAGATGGATCTGAAATATAAAATGTCAAGACATAAGTAGAAAGCCCTTAGAAAATATGTACAACAACTCTTCACTATGCAGTGGCATCTTAAGTATGACACCAATAAAGGAATGATGAATTGTTAAAATTAGTAATACTTATGCATCCAGACGACTCTATCCATAAATAAAAAGATCCTCAAGATGGGAAAAATACTTGAAAATCATATATTTGACAAAGGACTTGCATTTAGAATATTTAACACTTATGCCTTAGACAAATGATTCAATTTCTAAAATGAGCCAAGGATTCAAATAGATGTTTCTTCAAAAAGATATACAAGTGGCCATTAATTCAAAACACTTAGAATTGTTAGTCATTAGTAAAATGCAATCAAAGTCAGAAATGAGCTGTTAATTGTTAATTTAATAGAATGTTTAAGATGTGATCTTACAAAACAAAACAAAAAAGCAATATAAGCATACTAAGCATATAGAAACTAGAATTCTCATGTGTTGCTGTTGAGAATGTATTATAATGGTGTAGTCATATAAGTAAAGTTTGACAATTCTTAAACTAAACATAGAGTTTCATTATGCTTAGCAAGGCTCCTTCTGGATATATACTCTGAGTAAATTCAAATGGCTGCCGGGCATAGTTGCACATACTTTTAATCTTAATACTTTGGAGGCAGAAACAGGTAGATCTAAGTTTGAGGCAGCCTGTTGTATATAGTGAGTTCCAAGGCAGGCAGGCCTGCTGTCTTAGTTACTCCTCTATTGCTGTGATAAGACACTGTGACCAAAGCAACTTAGGAGTTTACTTAGGGCTTACAAAGGGTCAGGGTCCATAACTCTCATGGTAGGGAGCATGGCAGTAGGCAAGCAGCCATGATGCTGCAGCAGTAGCTGAGAGCTTAGCAGTCTGAGCCACAAGCATGAGAGCCGAGAGCTAACTGGAAGTGGATTGGGATTTTCACCGTTACTGCCCTGCTGTGAACGCATGAGGTCAGCAGTCCTGGCATGGCCAGAAGACACTGTTTTAGTTTCATCTTCTGAACCCTCTCTTCCCAGAAGGTCTCTGAGCCTAGACAGGGCAGTTGTACAGATGTCCCATTTACTGAGAACTCCCTTGATACTTGTCCCTACACTTTGACCATTTGTGAGTTTCCGCATTAGCCACTATCTGCTGTCCAAAGAAGCTTCTCTGATGAAGTCTTAGTGCTGCACTTCCTGTGGGCAGAGAGCCAGGAATTCTCATTCATGTATGTGTGTGTGTGTGTGTGTGTGTGTGTGTGTGTGTGTATGTATATTTGTTTATTTAGAAATGTAAGTTCCGTGGTGTTTTTTTATTTTGTTTTTTTTTACTGTTGTGTGACTTTTCCTAGTGAAATGTGAACAGATACACTTTTTCTCTGGATAGGACATTGACAATAAACCAAAGAAACAATCCCATACATGCTTAGCCTGGTGAATTGGGAGTTACTAAATAGGAATATAGGGTAGCTCCTGGGCAGTTGCATGATTGAAAAGTATCAGTGGTGTGCAGTTAGCTTTTGCAGTCAGTGTGATAGAACAGCAGGCTGAGGTAGTAAGTGTGGATGGAGGTTTTCAGGATGTGGATCGAGTGTGTGATGGACAGTAATGCCATGTCCCCCCCCCCCCCTTTGTTTGCTTTGAGTTTAATTTTTAAAGAGGCCTGATGTTTCCTGGCTCTAGACAAATTGCCTGTTTTGTACCTGAGTAGGAAGTTACTGTTTTCATGCTTGCTCCCCCTCTGCTTCACTCTGCTTCCTGGACTGGGACTGGGTGTTCTCATCTGGAGCTGTTCTGTCTTTCCTCTAAGCTCTCAGAATCTGGGTTATTATCTTTACACTGAGCAGGGGCAGGAAGGAGGTCACACGTTCGCATGAGGCTTACATGTTTTAATGTTTTATTAGTTCAGACTCAGCTACTGACTCATTGGTGATCACTGTTATTAACTCTAATTTCTTTGGTAAAGACAACTTTTAAACACTGACTTTATAAAGTACTACTTTAAAATATTGTCATGTTGTTATCATAGTGAGATTTTCTTGTCCCAAGATATTCAAGAATGAAGTGGGTAGACGGTGGAGGGAAAAGGGCCAGGGCTTTATTTGCCACTTGGGAGCAACAACTTAAATAGGAAAGTGGAGGACAGCACTGTGCCGTACACAAGGTGCAAGCTCAGAGACTATCAGCAAGTGTTACAGCTTGAAGCCTTCAGAGGGTCTCAGGATGCCAACCAAGAGCAGTTCCTTGCAGAGCAAGTCTGCAGAAACTAGGTTATAGCAGCCTCTTGTCTTTCTGGCAGATCTTGAAGGCTATAGACAGGTGGAGAAGTGGATTCCTGTTTGCTTCTTAGGGGCTGGGGTTAGAATAAGTGACAGCTGTAGGTTGAATCCTTGAGGGCAGAACATTAGGAGTTCCAGTGAGTTCCTTACTTGAAGCAGAAGCTGCCACTGTGGCAAGCTACCAATAGGTCTGTCTTGAATGTAGTCTTCTTTCCTGGCTGCAGAGCAGGCTGAGTGGATTCTGGCTGGGAGCCAGGATCTACGGTTTTCCTTCTCTTCCTCTTCAGACAGTCTAACCCATATATCTGTCTCTCTCGAGCTCTCCTTTCCCATCAAACCCAGGAGGGGCAAGAGGGCTTAGCAATACTCAAGGCTATACTCAACTAGGTCAGGAGGCTCCATTCTCTGCCACTGAAGTGGAGGGAAGCAGATATCTAGCTGCCAAAAGGGAACCCCAAGTTTTTCTCAGCTGTGGGTGGCTAATGACCTTTGTGGAGAGGGGCTGCTTCTACATATTCCACCAGGAGCCATTTTGTTGTGGTAATCTCCTAAGAGAGCAGACAGACATTCACTCATGGGGGCTGCGGCCTGTTTCCCCACTTCACTTGCACTCAGGGCTCCTGTTAGCTTTTATTTAGTAGGGTTTTGCTTCATCCTAGTCACCACAGCAACGACACTGGGATCTTTCACATCTAAGGCTATCAAACATAGCCTATTGCTTTGGTGGGAGGGATTGGGGGAGATTCTTACATGATTCAGTAGCAGCTGGGTTGTTTTGTTTTGCTTTTGTTTTGTGCTTCATTTCCCTTGCTGCCTCAGCAGCTGCAGGGAAGTAAGTACCTGACTGTTAGAAGGTGGCAGCTCTGTTTGTGGTTGCTGGGCCCATCCAGTCAGTTGTGACTGTGGGCTGCCATTGGACACTGCTCGTATGAGAAACTGGGGTTTCATGGTCTAGTTGTCTTCACACCTAGGTTTCGTGGGCCCTGGTTACTGCTACAGACCTCTGATCACTGTTGGGAACTTTTATCCTGTTGTCACCAACCAGAATTGCCACTGGGGGCCCTTTAGCCCTTTAGTCCTTTAGTCCACCATTCACAGGTTCATGTGCAGGTTGTGTGTACCTAAGCTGTGTGAGCAGGGCAGCTAGCTCTGACTAGCATTCTGATGACTTACTCTGTGTGCTGTTACAGTTTAGCACCATTGCTTTCTTAGGCTGGCGACCCTCACCTTCCTCTATTCTCATGTCTCACTGAGAAGGGCTCATTGATAAGGTTGAAAGAGGAGATTGTTTTCCTGGTGGGATTTTCTCCAGGATCTGTGTGACACAGCTCTAGTATTGTGAAAACTCCATTCCATAAAAGCATATACTGTACATTTGAGGGAAATGTTATATACAGCTTTAACAGATATATATTTTAGATATGTCATACTAGTGATAAAATTGTTCAAATCCTCCTTTTAAAATTATTATGAATTTTTTAGTCATGTATATCTGTGTACCACATACATGCAGTGCCTGAGGAGGCCAGAAGAGGCCATTGACTCCCTTAGAACTAGAGTTATAGATGGTTGTGCGCTATCATGTGGGTGCTGAGATTGAAACCTGGGTTCTCTAAAAGAGCGGCTAGTGCTCTTAACCACCAAGCCATCTCTCTAGCCCTCAAATTAAGTTTTTTTAGAGGGAAAACTAGCCAATGTAAATGCATTGTTGCTTTATTTGGTTCACACTGAACTTTGAATTTCCAGTCTGTGTGTAAAGTTGGGGTCTGCATCTCTTGCCTTATGTGTTTTGTAGGTCTCCATCATGTTTCTGCCCAGAGACAGAGGACATTATGCCCAGTTTTGGGATGTTGAGTGCCACCCTGCTAAAGAACCTCACATGAAACACACATTGAGATTCCAGCTCTCTGGCCAGGTGAGTATTCTCCTGGGTATAATAAGCAAGTATGTATATATTAAAAACCCTAAATGAAAAAACATCTCAGAATACACAATACTTTTCTGATATGGTTTCACTTTCACTAGTATGTTGTGTAGCCTCATGTCTTAAGATTCTTGTCAGGCTTTATTAGTTGATGTCTTTGCAGTCTGCATTAGCCTCTGTTGTCTTAAACTCCACATGAACCATATTTGACCTAACTATGTAAGTTGCTATCTATGTGTATGTATATGTATGGGCATTTTCATGGGGGCAACAAAACTAGACAGTATACAGAATAGAGTTTGCAGTTCAAAGGATTTAAAAATAATCATGTCTTTACAGTCTCTTTTTTTTGGAAATGTCTCTGTGCTTTCTGGAGTATTCTCCTTTTCTCCTCTCACTTTGTGTTTTTTTTTTTTTTTTCCTATACAGAGCATCAGAGCAGAAGGTGATCCTGAAGACTCATGCTCCTCCAGAGACACCCTTATTAAAGTAGATAATGCAGTCATGTCCCGGAGGCGTGCTGTATTTGAGACCACTACGCACGTGCCTGGGTGTGTACACTGTGTCCATCTTGAGAGTTTCTGTGCATGTTGGTGAGATATCGGTGTAGCACTAACATACCTTTGTACTTACAAGAGTCACTTCCGTTCTTCACCAAGATAGTCTCTCTCCTCTGAAAAGTCCTAATGTATCCTTTTGAAGTAAAATTTTTTCTGTTGTGGCTTCTGTTTCATAGGATTATTTTTGCCTTAGCTTCATAAGCACGCACATCTTTGTATCTGGTGTCTTTCAGCATCATACTTCCTGTGATTCATTAGTGCTGTTGAGCATACAGAGTTTATTCTTTTTGTTTTGCATTCCATTATATGAAACTATATTTTCCCATCGACATTTGAGTATACTACAATTTTGGATTACTATGAACTAAAGTAGTATGATCATTATTTTATGTGTATTTCTTTTTGGGGGGCACTGAGACAGAGTCTTACTGTATAAGTCTGGCTGTCCTTGAACTAACAGAAATGCACCTGCCTCAGCCTCCCTAGTGCAGGGAATAAAGGCATGTACTACTGCACCTGTTTTTCATGTGCATTTCGGAGAATAAATGTTTTTATTCATTTTGAATAAAAACTAATGACTACCACAAATTGCTAGATCACATGATAAGTGTATTTTAACTTTAAAACAAATTGGCAAGTAGTTTTCCCAAAATGGTTGTGCTGTTTTATTTTTCTATAAGAAGATTCTGGGGCTGGAGAGATGGCTCAGTAGTCCCTGTTCCCTTGTAGGGCGATTACAACTCCTTGTAAATATCAACTCCAAGGGATCAGTTCAGTGCTCGCCTCTGGCCTCCACGTGCTCTGACGTAGGTTCTTACACACATGCAAGCATATACATATGCACACAAATAAAAACAACCAAAACCTTAGGAAAGTTGGGGTTTGTTTGTTGGCTTGTTTGTTTTGGCCAGGCTGGCCTGCATTTGCTGAGGAGGATGTTAAACCTCTCATGTTCCACCCACACCTCCCAAGAACTGGGTTACAAGCATGCCCATATTGAAAGTACATGATCATTATTTTTTTAAGAGTCATGTTATTTTTATTTGATGAGTATATGTGTTTGTGTGAGTGTATACAGGTGTTCTTGGGGTCCAGAATAAGGTATCAGATACCCTAGAACTGGAGTCATAGGCAGTTGTGAACTACCGTGTTCTCTCTGAAAACAATCTTGTGTCCTCTGCCAGAGCAGGAAGTACTCTTAACTACTGAGCAATTTCTCCAGCCCTGAAAGTACATTCTTAACATTTTAAAAGAAGATATCATTAATTTATACTGTTCTAATGGTAATATTTATCATATCCAATGAAAATTTTTCTTATGACAGATAGATAATTAAGTCTAATTTATTTCTGGAATAAGATTTTTAGAAGAAGAAGATATACTAAAACCAACTAAGTTTAATATATAAATTTAGTCATCTGTCTTCTAATGCTAGCAGTAATGCATTTTGTTTTAAAGAAATAGAAAACTTTGTAAGGAACATCCTCTTTCTGCTGTCCACTTATCTGTTCCTCTCATATTCTCTGAGCTCTGATGATGCTCAGAGATGCTAAAGTTGAGGGTAGGGGTGGTGGTGGATTGCCTAGTCTCACCTTCACAGTTCTCAAACGGAGGGGCCCTGACAGTCCTGCCTTTACACTGGTAAGTTTGATCATAAGCTCTGAAAAATACTGGAGAAGGAAACAGGAAATGTGACAAACAGCTGCCTGGGGTGAATGTCATGTTAGCAGTTTTGAAGTGAAGTCCAGAGAGTGGGTAGAGAACAGATTGGCAGGTCAGTCTATAGAATCAGGATTGAAACAGAGGCAGCACCCTCATTTCCACTCAAAAGGCCAAGGTTCTCAGAGAGGTCAGCATCTGTGGACAACTCAGAATAGCCCATGGGTGTATGATTGGTCCAGGTGACAAGAACTGAACCAAATATGGGAAAGAAGTCACCTTCACAGTGCTGCTAACTCAGCCTTCCTGAAGAGCCTCCCTGTGGCATCATCCACATGGATTAGATAAGCCCCCAAAACAAGAAGAGTCTCTGAGCTGTAGAAGCAGTCGGAAGCTGCACTGCAGCACAGTATAGTACATGGAAACATTGTAGTTACAGACTTGGTAATTGTCTTTGTAAACTTCTTCCCAAAGCAGGCAGCTTGACTTGAGTCATCAAGGAGTATATGCCCCAAAGGATGTCTACATGTTCTTGCCAACCAAACTTGGGGAATCCAGGACACTGAAAGTCAATTTGCGAAATAATTCTTTTTTCACTCGTGCAGTAAGTTGAAATGTTATGTGGGGGTCAAAAAATTATTTTCTTAATGATTAGAGATATAATCTGTATATTTCAGTTGTAATGCATTTTTTAAAATGCTTTAATGTTGTCTGTATATGAAAAGAAATTTATTTGCAATTCATGGTCTTTAATTTGAAAATCAAATTTAAAATTTTTAACTTTTTCTTCTTATATCCTCTACTTACACAGTACATTTCTAGATAACATTTACATTAATCAAAATAGAGAAAATTCATGTTAAAACTCTTTAAATGTGTTTCTGTTACATGAGTCTCTAATTTTTTTTGGCTAAACCTAAATTTACTCAGTGTTATCTTTAAAGCTAAGCCAAGTTTTATATATGACAAATTCCAAATTTTCCTACTGTTACAATGTGTTCCCTCTTAATTTCCAGCTGAAGTTTTTGAGCCCCAGAAAACCTTTCCACATCAAACACTCCAAGTACTCTTTGAGGTGAGTATCACCTCAGTGAGAATCACTGTTGTTCTGAGGGGTAGGGTACAGCATTTGTGTTTTGGGATTGAAGACAGGAGAAATCTCTTTGCAGCTTCCTTTCTTCATTGGCGACACAGTGAGGGGCGTACTGCTCACTCTTTATGAGAAGCCAAGCAATGGAAGAATCCTGTCTTGGTGTGTCATTACTCTCTGGGTCACTTGACAGTGTGATGCCCCCCACCCCCACAAGGCTTTGATCAATGCTAATCCCTTTTGTTCACTTGTTTCCACTGCAGACACAGCCTGATGACCCCAGGGCTACCTGGTAACTGTTGCTGCTCAGTGCTGCTTTCCCCAGTCAGGACTGCATCACCAGTTCATTTTCACTAATTGAGACAGGAATTCTGCAGTGAATTAGGGAAATGTTTATTGTTATGTTTCCCAGTTGTCTTCCTTCAGATACTGCTGGGTGTTCTTAAGTCTAGACTCTGTGTTCTTTTTACTCAGAAGTCAATGATTTTTGTTTTTGTTACTTATTTTTAAGCCATTACAGGTATAAGCCAGAAAATGATCAGGTCTAAGACAAGTTTTACGGGTAGGGCTACAGCATTCAGTCTGTCGTTGGTATAGAATTAGTTATCTTTGTGACACTATGAATTTGTCAAATACTGACACTACCTAAATTCAAATGTAATTTTGACAATTGAAATGTCAGATTATTTCATATGTTTTGCTTTATCTCAATTTTTAACAAGATGTAGTTCATCTGTTTGAAGCTGCTTGGATTTAGTCATCATTTTGCTGCTGCTTGTAGATTCTTGTAGATTGTACTCTAACAGTTCCAATAGAAAATAGGAACTTATTTCTCTATATATTATGTGTATAATGTGTATATATATGTGTAATAATAGATATAATTATGCATATATTAGACAAATACAATATATACACATATGTATATACACACACATATATATACACATATACATATATATGTATGTATGTATGTATGTATGTATGTATACGTTTTTTGAGATAGCATTTTAGTCAGTTTCCAAAAGATGACTGAGTGGCTAAGAGCACTGACTACTCTTCCAGAGGTCCTGAGTTCAATTCCCAGCAACCACATGGCAGCTCACAACCATCTGTAATGGGATCTGATGCCCTCTTCTGGTCTGAAGACAGCTACAGTGTACTCATATAAATGAAAGAAAGAAATATTCTTTAAAAAAATGTGTAGAAAGAGCAGATAGTTATGGTGGCATATACCTGCAATGTCTGTACCCTTAGAGTTTGAGCATTTGGAAGCTGTCCTGGACTCCATGATAAAACTCTGTCCTTTAAAAAGAAAAGGTGCTTATTGTTACACAGGTAAAAGTAAATATTATTATTGACGTGAGTTTGTAGACTTCTTGCCCTAGAGCTGGAGAATGTTGTCTTAAGTTGAACCCTACTTTTGTGTACAACCTGGGTGTTTTAGTTATTTTTCTATGAAAAAATGAAAAAATACTTAACAAAAAAGCAACCTAAGAAAGAAGGGCTTATTTCACCTCAGTTTGTTCTGCTGTAGTGGGAAGGTCACAGAGGCAGGAATTGAGGGAGCTAATCACATTGCAGCCACAGTCATGAAGCCACAGCAGGGCAGTGTGGGTGCTCGGGGCGCTTGCCTGGGGATGGGTGCTGGATCATATTTACTGCATCTAAAGAAACTTAGAAACACAAGAGAATATATCTTTTTTTTTGTTTTGATTTTTAAAGATTTTTAATCATGTTTTTGTATGGGGATGGGTTCACCCCAGGTGAAAATAAGCAGACAACATTTCAGTAACTAGTTCTTTCCTGCTTTCTAAAAAGATTTATTTATATTTTCTGTGTATGAATCATTGCCTACATGTATATATGTGTAACTTGTGTGCCTGATCCCAGCTAATCCACAAGAGGGCATTAGGTCCTCTGGGATTGGTGTAGGAACAGCCAGTGCTCTTTTTTTTTTTTTGGTTTTTTTTCGAGACAGGATTTCTTTGTGTAGCCCTGGCTGTCCTGGAACTCACTCTGTAGACCAGACTGGCCTCAAACTCAGAAATCCACCTGCCTCTGCCTCCCAAGTGCTGGGATTAAAGGCGTGTACCACCACTGCCTGGCTAGCCAGTACTCTTAACCACTGAGCCATCTTTCCAGCCTGGGATGCTTGTCTGCATCTGAAAGCCACTACTGGGTTTCATTAGGAAACATTAGTAATAATGTTTCCTAATGAAATTAACACTTAGACATTGTTAGTAAGAGTGTATGCCACTTCTGGTCACCAAACTTCAAATCCGGTCACTCTGAGGAGGGACTACGATCCATCACAAGGGACAGTCTGAAAAGCTACTGACTTTGACTTGTAGTGATTAAACCAAAAGTTGCTGACTATATGGGCAGGCTGTGCATAAAGTATAGAAAGATCATTCGCTATAACCATAAAGTATATCCAGGGACAGTTTTATGGACAAGACACGCCTCTGTTAATATTGCTCTTTAACATAGGCCCTCTTTGCCAGTCTATGTAATCTAAAAAAAGCTCCAAGAATAATTTTTAATTCAGACTTTAGAGCAAATTTACATAGTAATGTTATAAGAATGGGAGCCGTTTTAATTTTTTTTTACAGTACAGTATGGTGCCTGAGTTAAGTAAAGCCAGGATTTTTATATAGGTAGATCTATAGGTAGATAGTGATTTAGGTTTGTAATTGGCTAGCCCTAGATAGAGTTCCAATATTTTGTTAATCCAATTGGCATATTTTGTTTATTTTGGGGCTTGGGTACATAGCTCTACTGGGGAGTGTGCTTCCTTTTATCATGATTGAATCCCTGGCTTCTGTAACTAGTCACAGAACCCTAGGTTGGGAGAGTTAAAATTCTGGGTCTTTCTTGGCCGTACAGCAAGTTTAAGAGCAGCTTGAACTACATGAAAATCCTGCTTCAAGGAAACAAGAACAGGGGTGGGGATTAAGCCACACACCTCAGGCGTGCTAGGCAGACACTCTGGAGCTATATCACCTTGATTTAAAATTTCCCTTTCCTTTCTTTAGCATCTTGTTTAATATTAGTTAAAGAAATTAGAAGTAGAATTCAGTTTAGTACTTTGGTTCTTAGATGGAGCCTGTGCTGCAGCGGCGTTGTGCTAGAGCAGGCATGATGACTACTGTCAGTGCACATCTTTCCATGTCCTCTTTTACAGGGCCCGACACTATATCCACATCCCGGTGCACTTCAGACCAGAGGCAGTGGGCAGATTTGAAGCTTTACTTGTGATCCAGACAGATGAAGGCAAGAGTATTGCTGTTCGACTAATTGGTGAATCCCTTGGAAAAAGTTAACTAGAATACATGTTGTATAAATGACTTGCTTATCTTTTGGCAATCTCATTTTTCTATATCAAAATTATGCTGTTGTATATATTTTGTATGATAAATTCAATGTGTATAAATTATAGATTTGTTTTTTTAAAGAATTCATTCCTGAAGCCCTCACTAAATATCATGTATCTAGCTCACAGTATTAACATTTACAGAGAAGAAGGTTCTATTTTTACATTGATTATGACATTCTGAAAAAATATGGCATATGTTTTAATGTGGTGTATTTACAAATAAAGTTGATATTTAAGCCGAACTTGTCTTTTTATGTGATGCCACATTATAAAAATGAGAATATTCCTTTATCCTCCTAATTGTCCCCAAGAACAGGCAGGCTTTAGAGTCTGTTCTGATTTTTCTGTGTTATACAGCTTCTGTCTGTTAGCTGGTTGTTGAGATAGTCTTCATATTCTGTGTAGAGATGGTGAGAAAGCTTGTTTGTTTCCTGTTCGCTGTATTTACTGCTGGACAGGACAGTTGCTCCTGGATCCAGTTTGGACATAACCTTTACAGTTATGTACTTGCCAACAGGACAAGGCAAATTCTGTGGCATTCAAAGGGATGGGAAGGGATTGGGAGGAGTTAAGGAGCAGTTCATGTGAGGTCAGGAAGGCAGCATGCCACCCAGGAGTGCAAGGTGAGTGACTGCTTTCTGACTAGTCACTGGTGCATCTCCTGAGCATGGTCACAGGCCTAGCCAGCAGCCTTCTGGGAAGTGGTACAAGCCCACAGCGTAGGTGTTGCTGCCATTGTAGCCCTGGGATCTTGGCTGGGTATCATTTTTAAGCTTGGATAAAGTTTCCCAGACAACAAACACACAAGAACAGTTAAAAGGCATGCTTGTGAATCTGGTAGAAAATTGAATTTCTGCATTCTCATTTTTCTCTTGCTTAGAGATCAGACTTGCAAAACCAGATGTGATAACTCATGCCTGTAATGCTGGCACTTAGGAACCTGAAGCAAGATGGAAGAGGGCGAGAGGCCAACGTGGGATGCAGTGAGAACCGTGTAAAAGAAGAAAAGGGGTGTGTGGGGGGGATGTGAAAAAAATTCGTTGTTTTGTTTTTTGAGGCAGTGTCTCTGTGGCTCTGGCTGCTCTAGAACTCACTGTATAAACCAGGCTGGCCCTTAATTCACAGAGATCCACCTGCCTCTACCTCCCAAGTGCTGGGATTAAGGGCATGTACTGCCATACTTGGCTCTCTGCAAAAAGTTTTCAACAAGTTAAGCAGGTAGTGCTCTTCCTGATCCAGCTCATTGTAGATTTCATGTCACGGATGTGACATTTGTATGGGCATTTTACCATATTCAGCTTCAGAAATGCTAAGAGTAGTGCATGCTTTGTAATGATCCCCCAGGTCCTTCATTTGTTTGTTTCTGCTGTACTCAGGAGGAGAAAAAGGATCAAAACACACAGAATACTTTAAAAGTGACTGCCTCTGTAGACCATCTCCTTTTTCTAGATCTTCTTATGCCTCACTGTCTTAGAAACATGTTTGTGGGCCGGGCAGTGGTGGCACACACCTTTAATCCCAGCACTTGGGAGGCAGAGGCAGGCGGATTTCTGAGTTTGAGGCCAGCCTGGTCTACAGAGTGAGTTCCAGGACAGCTAGGGCTACACAGAGAAACCCTGTCTCGAAAAATCAAAAAAAAAAGAAAAGAAACATGTTTGGGATCTTAGAGCAGTTGATACGAACAGTTCGTTCCTGATCCTGTCCCCACTTGTGAAGCACTAGCAAGCCATTGCTGAGGTCATCAGAGTCTCTAACTGTGGACACATCTAGTAGGTCAGCTTCCAGGGTGGTGGCTCCTGATGACTTTCCTATGTGGAAGCTGCTGCTAGGCCCTTTCTGCTCTCCCCATGTCCACATTCCAGTCTTCATCTCCCTGGGCTCCAGGCTCATGTGTCTACTTGGTTTTCAGGTAGATATCCCAGATTTTTCCTGGTTCTTTGTCAGCCTTACATGTCTTTCTCCCTGTTTTTGCTCAGCTTGGTAAATGACATTGTTTATCTCATCCTAAACCCCAGGTTTGAATAATTTGCCCTCCTCCCCAGGTTGCCTCTCAGAAGAGTATCTGAAGTAAGCCATCTTCAGGCCACTTTCAGCATCTGCCAATATAACCTTAGAACCTCTTTTCACCATAAAGCAGAGCTACATCTTAATGTAAACTATTTCCTGTGCCTCTTGCTTTGCACAACTGTTGTACAGGAAGGGTTGCTCTGGGATCTGGAGGCCAGGAGGCCTTCCATCATCTGCAGGGCCCTGCTTGCTTCTCAAGCTGTGCCTCGCATCACCACTGCTCACTGATCTCCAGCTGGCTTGTCAGGTTCCACAGCTGAGCCATTCTCTCCTATCTCAAAAGCTCTTTGCAGCATCGATGGCCTTTCCTGACTACTTTTATCCAAGATGAGAGGGGTCTTCCTTGATCTGTTCTCCCACACAGCATCCTTCCTCTCTTCACGTGATCTTTTTTAGGTGTTTCCTAGTTAGCCTGCTTTGTTTGGAGGATGTAAACTACGGGAAGTGGAATACCTGGGCCTCCTTGCTCATGGGGCATCTCTGACCCCTGGATAGCACCTCACATGACATGCACATTGACTGTTACTGGCCATCCAGCAGCACCTGCCATAGCCACCAGTTCTGGGAGGTTTTCTGAGCGCTACCCTCATGCTGTGCCTAAATGCTCCCCTCTAGGTATACACTTTATCTTCTGGGGTGTATGATTTCCCCACCACTGCCCTTCCCACATCAAGGCTTCTTGGCTTTCCTCTAGTTTCCCACACACATTTACACAGTACGTAGGAGATTCTCTCTACACTTTGGTGGTAAATGTATATCTCTCTACCTTACACACTTGGGACCTTTTGTCTCCCAAACCTCTTTCTGCATCCAGAAATCACACAAAACCACTACTCTTCTTTGCTATCCACAGGCCAGTGACACATTGCCTTAGTGAGCTAAACAGTTAAAAGTGTTAAATTCACTTTTCTTTGAAGAATTATTTATTCTACTTTTGGTTTTATACAATCTCCTATTTTGGATAGGAGGGTGATCAGACAATGTTAAAAGTGTTCAGAACTGTAACATTCTAAAAATACTTTGTAATACTACTATAGAGTATGGCGGGTGTGTTAGACAGCTTCTGTAATGGCCCATACTGATCCCAGCTGCCTGCTCATACAGCCTTATGTAACCTCCTCCTCAGGGTTGACTGGTTTTCCTCCTGTAGAATGCCTCCACATTGGTAGTCATGTTCCCAAAAGTACTGTTTGCTGTGTTGCTAGCAGACTCCTTATAGGCCTTAGTGAAGCAAGTTGCTTTCTTGGGAGGGTTATGGGTGGCCTGTGACCCACAGCTAAACACACTGAAGCTACTGGCCCAGATCCAACTGTATCAGCCAGTAAATGGACTTCCCTGGTGAGCATTCAGATGAGACTCCAGTCCTAGGCAATACTATGTTCGCAGCCTTGCAGAAGAAGAACGCTGAGCAGCACCCAGTCAAACTGCCCCAAAATAATAAGTGGTTATTTAAACCATGAAATCTATGGTAATTTGCTGTGCAACAATAGAGAACACAGTGGCTACTAATTTAAAGATAAAAGCTAGTTACATTGAAGATTCGACCATGACAATGTTACCATACTGTAAAGAACTGAATGTAAAATCTAGTGATGATCTGACAATGATTGGTGACTTTGTGAGTAAGGATTATTACTTGGGTTTTAGGTAGAGTGCATGTTTTGTATGTGAAAGGTCCTGGGTTCAATGATCAACACCAGAATAAAAATAAAACAAAAACTTCAAACAAACAAACAAGCAAAAACTTCTGACCTTAAATAAAATAGTCTTTAAGAATATTTTAAAATTTATACCCAAGTAAAAATGTGGAACAAAGAACCCTGTGAGACGGTTTTAACTGAACTCCAATTTAAGGTCTGTAGGCATTCCAAGCTTATTAAATGCCAAGAGCAACTATGGTTTGAGCATAAAAACCATTCATCTTTTGGCCCCAAAGGGCTAGATTATGCAGAAGACACAGATGTGGGATGCCCACACTCTGGCAGTCTTGCCCCTCAGAGGCAGCCATTTCAACTCCTGAAGCTGAAAGCTGTGTAGTACTGGGCTTTAGTCTATTTACTGCTACTGTAGCAGAATCCCCGAGATTGGATAAGTTATAAAGGAAAATAATTTATTTCCTATAGTTTTGAATATTGAGAATTGGAGTTACATCCTATTATCCTATTAAGGCTGCCTTGTTGGTAAGAACCCTGAAGAGTCCCAAGAGGAGACTATCTAAGAGAGCTGAAGTGGCATTTATGCACCCCTCTGGAGATGATGCCCGTAAGTGGAGTAGTCTACTGGTGGGAATAGACCCTCAGGACCTAAGCACTTATCAATGGTTCTACCTGAGGGCCAAGTTTCACCATAAACACGGAGGTAAAAGAAAGGCTAAGCCAATGAAACTTTAATCCCCTCTGGAATCCTTTTTTGGGGGGACAGAGTTCCGTAGTATTCCCTGCCACCCATGTTGCCAGTAGGGGCTTCTTCTTTCTTCTCCCTTGGGCATCTCATCCTTGGTTGCCTCCCCAGAACTCTTCACTACACATGTCACTGGTAGGGCCTTCTCCCTACTGCTTACCCAGGACTCTCAGCTATCCTTGTTGCTGGTAGGCCCCTTCCTTACTCCTCCCCTGAGAACAACTTTAGATGAAATTTAAGTTACATAATTTAAAAGGAAAATAATAAACATGTTCACGATTCAAACACACACACACACACACACACACACACACACACACACACACACCAGACAAATGAACAACAGCTAAATGAAGGTATTAATTAAAGAGGACAGGAATAAACTCATGACTGATGTCCAAGAAAACAAACAGCTGAATAAAGCAAGAAAGGTAATTGAGGGTATGAAAATAGAATTCAACAAAGAGAAATACTAAAGAAAACCCAAACTGAAATGAAGTTGGAAATAAAATAAGTTACCTCATTAGATTAGAAAATAGGATCCAACTTTTTGTTGTCTATGAGAAACACATCTCACCTTCAAAGACAGACAACTGTGTTAATGTAAAAGGATGTGAAATAGGTCCAACAAGCTCACTGGAAAGCTTCACCAACAGACTGGATCATGTGGGAGACAATATCTGTGCCTGATGATAAGGTAAAGGAATCAGATAATTCAATTTAAAAAGGTAATTTTTTAAAAAACGCATGCAAATGGAACATGCAGGACCTTTGG